ATGTTTACACTTCATGGGAGTCCACTGAGTCAGACAGATAAAATTGGGTTAAAAGTGTAATGGACACATCTGTGTGTGTGTATGTGTATGTGTGTGTGTGTAAACACGTGTGTTTGACACCAGTGGGCATTATCGTATGACATTTGTTTCTAGTGGGAGCTCAGTGGGGTGAAATGTTGGAGAGATGGGAAGGAACTCAAGACGACATTGGTTATTTTTCTTACTGTGGGCACTTTGGCGTGAACTATCTCCTGTCTCTCATTGGCCCAAAATCGAAGTGAGTTGTTGGCAAAGAACTGATAAGGAAGATGGTTCATTCCTCCTGGAGACAAGGCTACCAACAAGAAGGAGATAAATGTCCTTCCATGGGGCCACTGAAAATAAAATTTGCAGGCATTTGCCTTGAATGATTCACCTTAGAGACAGGGCTTCTAGACCTTCTGGCTTTTTAAATCCTTTTAGAATGACATCCAGTGCCTTTTGGTTCTCTCAGTATTATTATCTGTATGTTTGGTTTTATCTTCTAAAAATTTGGATTGCAAATGAATGCTCTTGTAGATTAAAGGTGATGGGAAAGACTTAAATCCGGGCTTACCGTTTTCCGGAATCACTTGGACTGTTTAGGATGCAGCCATGGGACCACCTAATCCTCACAGCATTCGCACTGGGTGTCAGAAATTCCTGAATTCTCCTGGCTCAGAACCAGATCCAGCTTGCTTGGTTCACAGGGATGATGCTGGCTCCCTGAGCCCTGCGTTTTTCTAGCCGAGGTGAAGCAGCACTTCCGGGCCTGTTCCCTGCCCTCAGCTGCCCTGTTACCCTGCCCCTGCAAGCCAGTTCCTGTGTTCCTTACAAGCAGGAACACCACCTGCATGACGTGTGACCTCTGTCCTTCGTGCCCTGATGTGTCCACAGCTGTGTGGAATGATGGCAATATCGAGAACCTCCTATCACAAGAGGGTGGTCTGGAGGGTCTCTGGGCAGCTCTGTGTCTGCACCTCGGCCGGCTGAGCTGTTCCTGTGGTCTTGCTTCTGCTTTGTTTTGTCTTCTTTCACTGGCATGACTTCACGTAAGAGCTAACCATTCTTCCTGTCAACACTTGAGAACCTGAGGGTAGGACGGGGCCTTTTAGATGGCCTGGGGGATGCTCATTAAGGCCAGGATCCTCCCATCGGGGAGCCTGCTGGAGGTAAAGAGCCCACAAAAGAGCAGCCCAGCCATAAATGACAGTGCTCCTGAGAAAAAATCCAAATAAGGAAACTTTGAAGAGAGGGGTACCTCACAATAGGGAAACTGCATGAATTCAGACACTGCGGGGAGGGCTGGGGGCTGCTCTGGCCTCCTTGAGCCTTCTGAGTGTGATCAAGGCCTGATCTTCTGGGCCAGCTCATTCGTTCATTTGTTCATGCATGCTTCATTCTGTGACAAAGAGCTAGCACATATGTCACTTCTGTGGCGCGTCAGCCTTGGGAACTCACTGCCCTGGCATGCCATCATCCGTGCACAGTGCGGAGGGCTTCCCTGCCCTGAGCCCTGCCCCCACAGAGCCCAGCACACACGCAGGCACCTGGTCTCCTGCAGATCGCCTCCCAGCAGAAAGGCCGTGCTCTTGAGCTGTGTGAGCCCCTGGAACTCCTCACTTTGGGCTAGTGCAGCATCGTGCTGTCCAGGCGTGTGGCTTCCCTTTTCACCCTTTTCATATCCCTCCGTGACGGGAAGCAGACTGTTTTGCAAAAGCTTGTAGTGTGGTTTTCTTATTTCCTCAGGTTTGACATTTATTAGGAATACAGCTTAGGGGTGACCTTACCTAGCGTATAAATAGACAGATTCAGTCTCTAGTGGTGTGGGAGTTGCCTCACCAGGTGACTGACTTTCCAGTGGACGCAGGGACAGAGCCAAATTCCAAGTCCCATCAAGTGTTAACTCCAGGATGTGAGTCATGCGTGTCCCAAATGGTCCTATGGACATGGTGTGGCCCTGGACATGTTGAACTTGAGCTTCTTCTCATCTTTGTTTAGGGCTTTGCTGATGGGTTGTATTTGCTTTTCCCCTGAGTTTGTGCAACACAGAATGCCCAATGCATTCATGTTTTGATTTCTGTCCTGGCTTTTTAAAAAATTGATGGGGATGCTACATTACAGATTCTCTCAGCACTGTACCTTCTCAGTTGTCAGTTCATTAAAAAGTTTTTGGTCAGCCTTTGTACTCTGTCAGCATGGCATGTTAAAGAAAAGGCATATTGAGAAATGTATTTAACTAGCTGAGAGCATTCTGGGGCTTAACTGGAAGTCTCACATTGTAACTGGGTACTAGCTCTTGGTAAAAAAATAACTTGCTAATAATAGCAATGTATGCTCAAGATGCTGTGTCATTACTGTCGTGGAGCCTGGAAAGACCAGCTTCCTTAAAGTTCACGAGGACCCCCAGTCCTCTGGTGAACAGCCAAGGTCCAAAGCGCAGGACAAAAAAGATGTTTGTTGGTGGGCAGTGTTCCTATGTGGCATGAGAGGCTCTCAAGCAATGACAGAAAGTTGTATTCCATTGACACTTGGGGATTGGGGGTGAGTGTTGGGGTTAGTGCCATGCAAGTCTCCAGAAGCTATCTGAGCACAATTGCTAAGGGTCAGCTGGACAAAGGTGACTATCCTCTCTTTAACTGGGTGGCCTGGACTTCTGAGGTCTGAACATGACATGGGAGACCCCAGCCCAGGACTGGAGGGCTGGTGAGGGTTGCCAGGCATCCTGTACTGACAGGGCATGTACCGTGTTCAGCGCTTTTATTTTGTATCCGGTATTAATGTCGTTGTTGTCAGTTGCTGCTGTGTCAGTTCTGACTCACAGCAGCCCCACAGACAACAAAGTGAAACGTTGTCTGATCCTGTGACCTTGGTAGCCTGAGTCCATTGCTGTGGTCACTGGATATTTTGAGTGCCTTTCCACCAGCTCTTTATCAGACAATATAGGACCCATAGGTGGTGTAGTGCCTAAGGCACTTGACTGCTAACCAGAAGGCTGGCGGTTCAGACCCACCAGCCACTCCCCAGAAGGAAGGATGGGCAATCTACTTCCGTAGACATATCACCTCGGAAGCCCAAGGAGGGGTTGCTGTGAGTCACATCCGACTTGACAGCAGTGAGTTGTTTTTGTTTTTTCAATTGGCAGGAGGAGATCACCAGACCTTTCTTCCTCATGTGCCTTACTCTAGAAATCTGCTGAAACCTGTCCACCATGCATTGCTGTTTGATATGCTGGGGGCATGGCTTCCAGCATCACAGTCACACGCGGGCCACCACAGTGCGGCAGATTGACAGACGAGAGGCAGGTGAATGCTGAGGATGTCTACGTGTTCCTGCATTCAGCTTTTTTTTTTTTCATCCAATAAATCACAAATCAGCAGTAAGAGCTATTTTCCTAGTTGAACTGGGCATCCTGCATTTTATTTTAATTTTCAAAATGCGGCAACTTTATGACTGATGTCACTCATGCCAAAATATGGACCCTGGGCAGAACTCACGTGACTCCATCTCCAGTTCCCTTCAGTGACTGAGCTGGCAAACTCCATCTCAGGCCGTTTCTAGCACTTGGCTTGTCCACATCCAGCTGAGAGGTCTCGTAAGGAAACAATAGCTGCAGACATCCTTTCTCAGACTTGTACACAGTGTGAATCGGAGAGAGGCTCAGTGGCAGTGGAGGTGGGGGAGGTGGGGGTGGCGGTGGGTGCTGATGGACACCTCCCCAGAGGCCTGGTGAATCCCCCTTCCTCCCAGGCCCCCTGGCCGCTCTGGAATGGCCAGGACATGGGGAGAGCTCCAGGCATCGGAGCTAAAGAAGCCACCTTTTCAGAGAGCATCTATTACTAGTGCGCTACCTAGACTCCCAGGCTCTCAGTTCTTCGGCTGCTTCCTGCTGTCTGAATAAGGGAATGTCTTTAATTTATCATTTGTGACCTTACGCACATTCCTCTTGCTTCCCGCCCTGGTGCCCAGGGAGCAGGGTCACTGGAAAAGGAGGCTGTAGGCTGAGTTTATTATTGTAAACACGTTCAAGGATAATAAACCAAATCTACTGAATGAGCAAGCTCGTGAGAGACTCTGGGCATGGGAGGCATTGTGACAGCCCGATTGCAAATCTTATCACAGAAAAGGAAAAGCCAAGGCCTTGAAGGATGAACGGTTTTGCCCAGAGTGCATAAAACTCCATGTTACTCATGAATCAAACTTCCTGCCAAAATGCTTTTCAAAGGACTTCCATAAGGACTAGCTCGTGCTTTAAGCCAGGAAGACGTGATCTAAATTAGCATTCGGGATACAGGATGAATGAGACTGGAGTCACCGGCCGTAGTTGACACAGCACCAGGCTTTTCCAAGACTGATGGCTGGGGTACAGTAACTAAGCTTTCCACTGCTTACCTTAAACTAAGGCTGCTAAGGGAAGAGCAAATTAATACTACAACATTGAGACCCTGCGACTTGATAGAAGGACTAAATTTGCACCTTCTTTTTTTTATTTATTAGATTTTTTAGTGATATGTCTCATCTGTGCCTTTCAGGAGTTAGTAATTTGGTCTGTTGCTTTTATTCTAAGAAGCTTGGAGGTACAGTGGTTAAAGTGCTCGGCTGCAAACAAGAGATCACAGATTGAACCTAAGCTGTTCTGCTTGGCAAAGATGTGGCAGTCAGTTTCCATAAATATTGACAACCCTGGAAACCTATGGGGCAGTTCTACTCCGACTTATGGGGCCAGAGTGGGGCGATGAGTCGGGATCAACTCGTTGGCAGTGGGTTTTTCCTTCTTTCTGCATGTGCTGATTTTCTTGATTAATTTGGAGAACATCTGTGTATAATTCTCCAGGCTTTACATGGGCAAACTGTGCCTCTTCTGCCTTAACTTTGAGCATTGCTTTCCAGACGGTCTCAGCTTGTGTCTAACTGAAATGCTGAAGCGACAAAGGTGCTGACGCCTGTGTGTGTAATTATGTCATTTCCCCCTGGTCTTTCAGAGTCTTCCTGCGTGCAATCAATCAGTATGCAGATATGCTGAACAAGAAGTTCCTGGATCAAGCCAACTTTGAGCTACAGGTAAGAGAAGAGGTGATGTGACCTTTATCGAGAAATCATGGTGGCTTAGCAGAGCTGCTGTAACAGCAACACCACAAGAGGATGGCTTTAACAAACAGAAGGTTATTCTCTTGGAGTCTAGGAGGTGAAACGCCCAGTGTTCAGAGCGCCAGCTTTGGAGAAGACTTTATCTCTCTGTGTCTCTTGGTCCCAGGAGGATCCCAGTGCACGGACCCTGGGGTCCAGAGGTTGCACTCGGTTCCTGGCTCTTCTTTCTTGGTGATAGTACGCGCCCCCCTTTTCCCTTCTCTTTCTTTTCATCTCTTGTAAGATAAAACTGTTGCAGGTCACACCCCAGGGAAGCTTCCCTTACATTGGATCAGGGCTATGATGAGACTAAGTGTGTTGCACCCCACCCTTAATCTTCATCCTTTCACACCTGATGGACTTACCACATCAGATCACATCACGGGGCACTATTACATATCTGCAACGTTACATCAATACCTAACTTCTAAACCACCGAGAATCACGACCCAGCCAAGTGGACACACATTTTGAGGAGACACATTTTAACCCATGGCACACGTTAAGATGAGTTGCTGTCTACATCTCATACTCACATTTAATTGGTCTCCCATTGGTGGTGCAGAAATGGAATTTATAATATGTACTCTTAGTTGTTGTTGTTAAGTGCCATCAAGTAATCTCCAATTTATAGTGACCTTATATACAACAGAATGAAACCCTGCCCGGTCCTGTGCCAGCCTCATGATCCTTGCTATACTTGAGCCCATCATTGTAGCCACTGTGTCAATCCATCTTATTGAGGGCCTCCCCCTCTTTTATTGACCGTCCACTTTACCAAGCATGATATCCTTTTCCAGAGAATGGTCCATTCTGACAACATGACCAAAGTAGGTGAGATGAAGCTTGGCCATTCTTGCTTCCAAGGAGCATTCCAGCTGTACTTCTTCCAGGACAGATTTGTTAGTTCTTTTTGTAGTCCGTGGTACTTTCAGTATTTTTTGCCAGCACCACAACTCAAAACAAGCAACTCTTCTTCAGTCTTCTTTATTCATTGTCCAGCTCTCACATGCATATGAGGTGATTGGAAATACCATGGCTTGGGTTAGGCACACCTTAGTCTCCAAGGAGACGTCTTTGCTCTTCAGCACTTGAAAGAGGCCTCTTGTAGCAAGTTTACCCTGTGCAACACATTGCCTGATGTCTTGATTGCTGCTTCCATTGGTGTTGGTTGTAGAAACAAGTGATATGAAGTCTTTGAAAACTTCAATCTTTTCTTCATTTATTGAGATGCTGCTTATTGGTCCAGTTGTGAGGATTTTTGTTTTCTTTATGTTGAGGTGTAATCCGTACTGCAGACTGTAGTCTTTAATCTTCATCTGTAAGTGCTTCAAGTCATCCTCACTTTCAGCAAGCAAAGTTGTGTCATCTGTATATCTCAGGTTTTTAACGAACCTTCCTCCAATCCTGATGCCACGTTCTTCTTCATATAGTCCAGCTTCTTGGATTGTTTGCTCAGAACACTATGGGAACCCAAGGAGTAAGATGACATCTTTGGGGTATTTGCTCAACTTAGCCAGGAAGGAGGTAGGATTGATTCAGAGAGGAGCAACTGAATCTAACTGGCCAGTAGGGATTCTCTGAGCAGGGAGGCCACCGTGGCTCATTGTGTGGGGGAACCCGTCCTGACACTGGGGGGCCTGTCCTAACATTAGGGGTGATAGTGACACAGCAGACTTTACACTTCTAGAAATAACAACAAAGAGTTTTAATGAAACAGTTCACGAAATGGGAGACACAAACACCCCAGCAAGATGTTGCAGTGTGTTCAGGCATCATGTGGTGAGACAAACAGGCACAGAGAGGGGACCATGTGGCAGGAAGTTACAGGGATGTGTTAAAGTATCACCTTAAAAACTCAACAACAGAATGTTTACCCGTCACATCCTAAGGGTGATTTAACAGGCATTCTGTCAGGACTGTATTGAGTCACAGTTGTATGTCTGCTTCTCCCCTTACCCTAAGGTAACAGGCTCATGACTTGACTTGGTTACAGCTTTCCAAAGAGTTAGCAGAAATGGAGCAGAAGATTCCAGTGAGTGAAAACAAACTTTGATTCAGACTTGGTTAATTGGCGTTTGCCTCATCTTGGTTACAGACTTATGAGATCAATTCTAATCCTATTTCCTGATCTCTGGGACATAGTGGAGCAAGGCGTTCTTCTCAGAACAAGCTGAGTGAACATTCTAACAGACACTTTTAACCACCAGTTCCTCATCTAAGCCAGCATCCCAACTCTTGCTCCTTTAACAGCAGTTCAACTTTGACAACAAGGCTGTTACTTCACGTCAGTGCAGTGAAGATTTCTGTTTAATTCAGAATGGAATTTTAATTCAGCCTGATGTCCACCCAGTTACTCCAGTAGTTTTAAGGTGCACATTCACGGGGGGTAGGAGATATGCGTTTATATCAGGAGCTCCACCTCCTCTGTGTGCAGTTTTCCCTGGTACATTCTCTCCGAGTTTTGTGCAGCCAGAAGTGGCTGTTCCAAGGCAGAAATGTCTGCCACCATGCCCCCGGGGTACCAGTAGGCTGCCCATCAGTTTATGTGCTTCCTCTTCTGTGTGTGCCTGTGTGAGTGTGTGTTTGTCTGAGAGACAGAGACTGATGTTGCCTGGCACGATTTCTTACTAAGCCCTGGAATTTGTGGCTTATGGTCCCATTACAATCCAGGTGTATTTCTGTCATTGATGACTTAATTTGACCTTCCTGTTACTTAGCTGAGGAGCTCTGGTAGTGTAGTGCCTAAGGCACTTGACTGCTAACCAGAAGGCTGGCAGTTCAAACCCACCAGCCACTCCTCAGAAGAAAGATGGGGCAATCTACTTCCATAGTGATACTGCCTCAGAAACCCAAAGAGGGGTCTCTATGAGTCGGGTCCAACTCGACGGCACATAACAACAACAACAACATTACTTAGCTGAGCGTACTAAAGTTTGCAGTCAACAAAGTCATGCAGATGCACACAGCAAAGTCAAGTTCCTAAACCGGACTAGGGCTTCCTTCTCTGAGAAGGAATCTAAGAACTACACACCCAGTGGGTGATCCAACTGACAGGTGCTTTACCAGAGAGTAAATCAGGCACCCATCTACTTTCCTTTTGGATCGCCTGCAGAAAGTTAGGGCTAATGTGATGCTTCCTGTATTAGATTGTGTCCCGTACTTTTTTTATAATGTGTTTCAATTTCATGTAAGTATATAATAATAGATCGGGCACTGTACACAGTAAAACCTGAGAAAGCTAGAACCTGTGTAAGGTGAAAACCTGTCAGAGAAGGAAAACACAACCATTTACTACAACGTAGAGAGTGATGGAAAAGTGGTGACTGCACCCTGTCAAAGGTGACACACTTGTGAGACTCGGAAACATAAGATAGTCCCATTGTTCTGGCTCTCACAGGCTTCACTGTACCTATTTAAATTTTTATCACTTCTCTACTCAGTGTTTGTTTTGGTAAGTCATACTACATGGCTGCATTGTCACTGTAAAATATCCATGCAGTGTAAGTCAGTACATCAAGTGAACTGGAGCACCCCCACCCCTTTTTCCCAACTCTGATTCCTCATCTGCAGAGAGCACTGTTGACCATTTGTGTGTGCTCCCTGGCTCTTCTTAGCTTTTGCGTTGACATACGCATGTTTTCTCCTGGCTGTAAGTGGGAACTGGACCCTACCCTGTGTGTTTAATGGGTCTGTGGTATTCTACAATCTGTGTGTACCAACATGTACTCAGCTACTCCTCTGCTGATGGCCAGTCTCCCCTTTTCCAGTTCCACAAGCAGTGCTGCTCTGAACAGCTTTGCATGTGGGCTTCGGAGCGCACACACTGCTGCAGAAGAGAGTCCTAGAAGTAGAAGTCCAGGGCCAAAAGGCACGGAATTTTGACTGACAGGCATTGCTAAAGTGCTTCATCCATTTGCAGTCCCACCAACCTTCTTTGAAGTCTGCCATTTTCTGGAATCTTCTCCAGTCCCAATATTATTCATCATTCAAATGATTGCTGCTTGCTTGTACTGGCAGTTCTTGATTACTAGTTAGGCTGGGGAGTTCTGGTGGCACTGTGGTCAAAGTATTCAGCTGCTGGCCAAAAGGTCGGTGGTTTGAACTCACCAGCTTCTCTGTGGGGGCAAGATGTGGCAGTCTGCTTCTGTAAAGATTGACAGCCTTGGAAACCCAGTGGGGCAGTTCCACTCTGCCCTGTAGGGTTGCTGGGAGTCAGGACTGACTTAGTGACAGTGAGTGGGTAGTTAGGTTGAGAATACTTCCTGGCCCTGTAGGTTTCTGCTATGAACTGTCTGATCATTTTCTTTGATCATTTTTCTAGCTGGCTATTTCTCTTACTTCTTTGTAAGGTGGAATTCTTGATAAAACATGGGCATGTGCTTAGGCTTATGATATGGAAATATTCTGTTTTTCTGTAGGCAAGTTTATCAGTCCTTTCTTTTATGACTATTCAGTTTTCATTTTACGTGGCATATCTTTTCTTGACTCATTAGAAAAATTGTAAATATACACATTTATTAAGGAGTTAGTATCTAGTCCTGGATGACACTAATAACTGACCACTTACCTGCTAACCAAAAGGTTGGCAGTTTGAATTCACCCAGAGGGATCTCAGAATAAAAGCCTGGCAATATACTTCCGAAAAAGAAAGAAAAAAATGTTAGCCTTTGAAAACTCTGTGGAGCACAGTTCTACTCGGACACACTTGGGGTCACCATGAGTCAGACTCAACTCAATGGCAAGGCGTTTGTTGGATTTTGGTTTAGTATCTGCTAAGACTTAAAGTTTTTGTTTGCTTATTTGTTTTTAATTTTCATGTGTTTCATGCATCTGGCATTCTATGATTAGTGTTGGGGTAAGGGTCTAACTTTAGTTTTGGGGTTTTTTTTCAGTTTTTTCCTGAATATAGTCTTCTCTCCTCATTGGTTTATAATGTTGTCTTTTTCAGAATGTCAAATGCATGTATGAGTAGATTCTATTTTCTGTGTTAGTACCATCACGACTTTCTTCACTACACTTTTATACCTAGCTCATTGAGCCAGTACCTCCCATTCCTTTCCTGTTGCAAAATTATCTCAACTGTGCTTCCACATTTCCTCATCTATATAAGTTTTATATCAGCTTGTTAAGTTTCTTTTTGTAAAAATCATGCCTAAATTTTAATTTGGATTCCATTGAATTTATAAGTAAAGTCAGGGAGAATTTAAGCAGTTCCTGTTGCTGCGGAGTTGACTCCAACTTGTGGCGACCCCATGTGTGTCAGTGCAGAACTATGCTCCATGGGGTTTTCAGTGACTGATGTTTTAGAAGTAGAACACCAGGACTTCTTCCCAGGACAGGTAGGACTGTGGGCTGAGGAGTCTGGGATGCCCCAATTCAGATCCTTCTTTTCCTCCTGTGACCTCTGAGGCTCTTTGGCAAGTGTCAGACCTCATCTTACTTGATTAGCTCTGTGGTGTCACATGAGCTGGTATATTGATATATGAAGTGCCCTTTTCATGGAAAATGCTAGCTACATGGTAGGCCAGCGTGCTCTTACTTAAATCCTGTAAATGCTTTTAAATTTCCACTTACTTCACAGGTAATTAAAAATAGAGCCAATAATGTTAACACCTATTTTTATATAACCCTTTGCAACTATCTCATTTGATATAAAAAAATATTATCTGTTTTGTAAATGAGAGATGTGACACCCTCATGTTTCTTGCTAAAAATCATTAAAAGCATGTTCAAGCTTGGACTTCATGGAGTGAGGAGTGGAGGAGCACTCCACGTCCAGAACTGAAAGGCCCATGGGTGGGGGACATGTCAGTCTGAGGACCTGATGAGAATGAGAAGCCCAGAGCTCAGTGATGGGGGGGGTAGCCTGAGGGAGGTTACAGGTCTACCTGCAAGGTGTGGGAAGTTCCCCAGGGGGTTCATGCAGGGCTATGACCTGGCCAGATTTGGATTTGAGGTTGTTCCCTCTGGCTGCACTGTGCACAGTGGGTTTGAGAGGGACTACATACTTTGGAGGCTGGTGTTGTGCCTGGAGTGAGCCCTAGATTTCTTGCTGGGCAGTGGGTGGTTATAGGTGGCATTTATTGAGCACCAGTTCCCTAATGACATATGTAGGAATGAAAATATCCCACTTGCTGATCCAAGAATTCTTCCCTCATCGTACCCTTCTTAACTCTGCCCTGAACACTGACGTAATCAGGGGTGTTTATTCCATTGCTTTTGGATCCTACTCTCAGCAATGTTGCTTGTTGGAGAAGCTTTCATAACAGCAAGTGCGGGCCGTGGTGCCCAGATAGACAGAGCTTCTGTGGTAAAGAGACTTATGATCAGAGTCATGTCACAGCAAAGCATCTTTAAGCCACAGAGTGTCTGTAAGGCCTTGAAGTATGAAATGCTTTGGTATATTTTTCATCTGTTTTCCTCAGCTGTCTGATGTATATATGTTTTTTTTGATTTGGGGTATAAATTATAAATTATAATTTATGAATGTAATTTTTATAAGTTATAAATTATAGAAATCTAGACTAGTCTTTGGAATCCCTGGGCAGTACAGGCGATTAACATGCTCGGCTGCTGCTCCGACAGTTGGATGTTGGAGTCCACTCAAAGGTGCCTTGCAAGAAGGGCCTGGTGATGTACTTCTGAAAAATCAACCAGGGAAGCCCGTCTGGAGTGCAGCTCTGTTGACACACATGGGCTCACCGTGAGCTGACACCTCCTCTGGGGCAACTGGTGCTGCATGCTCCTCTTCAGGAAGCAGGTGCACAACATGGCGATAAGAGCTCCCGGATGCTGAGTGTCCCATTAGGCACCACAGGCAAAGCTGCAGGTGTTTATTCCTTTGATCTTCCCAGAAACCCTGTAAGGTGGCTATTTTTAAAGTTTCCATTCTATTGATGAGAAAACAGGGAGGTTAGATTACATGCCCCAGTAAATGGCAGAGCCAGGATTTGAACACAAGCAGTGTGATCCCAGAGCATGGTGGTGCAATGGTTAAAGTGCTCAGCTGCCAACCAGAAGGTCAGCAGTTTGAACCCACTAGCTGCTGTGTGGGAGAAAGGTAGTGGTCTCTGTCCATAAAGATAAAGCCCAAGCACCAAACCTGCTGTCAATTAGGACTCATAGTGACCCTGTAGGACAGAGAAGAACTGCCCCACAGGGTTTCCAAGGCTGTCAGTCTTTCTGGAATCAGACTGCCTCATCTTCCTCCCACGGAGTGGCTAATAGGCTTCACTGCTGACCTTTTGGTTAGCAGCCCAATGCTTTAACCACTGCACCACCAGGACTCTTACTATGTCATTAAACCAAACCAAACTCACTGCCATCAAGTCTATAGCAACCCCCTTTGGGCTTCTGAAGTGGTAAATCTTTATGGAAATACATTGCCCCATCTTTCTTCCATGGAGTAGCTGGTGGGTTTGAACCAACAACCTTCTGGTTAGCTGTCAAATGCTTTAAGCTTTGTGCCACCAGAGCTCCTTATCATTAAATAAAAACCTATATGGAAGTAGATTGCCCAGTATTCCTTCAAGAAGTGGCTGGTGGGTCCTTATCATTTAGGGAACTGCAAATTAAAGCAACAGTGAGATCCCACTACACATCTCTTAACCCCAAACCCACTGCCATCAAGTCAATTCCAACTCATAGTGAGTCTATATGGCAGGGTAGAACTGCCCCTTAGGGTTTCCAAGGCTGTAAATCTTTATGGAAGCAGACTGGCTCATCTTTCTCCTGCAGAGTGACTGGGGGGTTCGAACTGCTGACCTTTTGGCTAGCAGCCAAATGGCTTAACCACTGGACCACCAGAGCTCTGCCATAAAGATTACAACCTTGGTAACTCTATGGGGGCAGTTCTCCTGTGTCCTACAGGGTTGCTATAAATCTGAATCAATTCGATAGCAATGGATTTGGTTTTGGGGAATGTGATCCCAGATCCCACGCTTAACACTGACCACCACTGCAATTCATATATCCTGAGGGCATTTAAAAAAAAAAAAATTAACATGACAGAACTGTGTACTAGCCAAATGATACCTGTGTCAGAGCGATTTTCAAAGCCTGTGTTCAGCTGCCCTATGACTCAGTGCTTCCCCCTTTGTGATTTTCAGCTGTGGAACAACTACTTTCACCTGGCCGTTGCATTCCTTACCCAAGAGTCCTTGCAGCTGGAGAATTTTTCAAGCGCTAAGCGAGCCAAGATTCTTAACAAGTAAGTCCTCGTCCAGCTCCTCCAGCCCCATTAGCATAATTTTCACGGCATCTCTAAGCCAACTTGGTACAAATTGAGATGTAATCATGATGTAATGAAAGGGTGGTTTTAAATCAGGAAGCGGGTATTGCCTTTGCAAACGTGTGACTCAAGATCTAAAATTGCCCTGTGGTTCAAAGTCAGTGTAATTCAAGACTTAGCACAATTCGGAATGGGAGTTTCGGGGATAAATGCTTGGCTGTGGAGTATTGTAATGTCATTCCACGTGTGGGTTACTTTACTGCTAAATTCTCCAATTCTGCTCCTAAAAAAAAGCTCCTGACTGAAGCCATTGGTACTGTTAGGGTTGGTGAGCAACCATTCTGCATTTGGAAGCCATCGGATGGCTTCCTTCTTGGAAGGCAGTAACCATCATCTTCTGGATTTGCAAGGACAGAGCTGGCCCCACTGCCATTGTAAGCATGTCTCTCAGAAGGTCCAAAGCATTTGGGTAGGACATCAGACACTTCCAGGGCGGGTTCTGCTGTGTAGAAATAAAGTTTGCACATTGATTACAGAGTAAATCAAGAGGCATGACAAGTAGCACAACACGCACATGAGTGATCCTGGCCCAGGTCATAGGGGAGAAGGCGGTCTCTGGTCCAAAACCACCAGACCTTCCTTGAGCCCATGAGGTCTCTGAAGATGATGAGATAATAACCTTATGAGGAAGAAGTCCGAGTCCAATGGGGGAGTAAATAGGCAGAAATTATCATGTCCTCAAAGACATTCCCCAAGGCACATGGGAGCCACATGAAAGAATGGCCAGAGCTCACAGAGAACAGGTTATGTCAAACCCAAATCAAGTATAAGACTTGCCAATGAACCACAAAACAAATAACCCCAACGAATTAAAGTCCACTATCAGAAAATTTGACTGCTCGATCTTCAGACACCTTGGTGCCAGTGGGGTGGAAGTCAGGTAACGATAGTGCCTTGGAGCCAGGAAATGGGTGTGTCTCTTGGCCAGGGGACTTAGAAGGCTTTCTGGCATCGTGAGCTTTTGGGCTGGATGGTGAAGGAGAACCAGAGTGGCCTCAGCAGGGTCAACAAGCAGCCAAGTCCCAAAGGAGACACTGAGGGCATTCCATCAGCAGCCGAGCATGAGTCCTACAATTATGCATCCTGGAACTGGGGAAATCACTACAGGATGGGTCGGGGACCCACCAGACCCACTGTGATGTGGACCTGAGCTAAGACTCCATGAATAAGCTGACCTGTGTGTACCCCTGCCCTCACTGGTGGGCCGCAGTGACGTTTTGAGTATTCTAGGATGAATGTCAGTTCAGAGCTAGTGTCCAGTCATCCTGGGAAAGTCTATTTCCTTTTCCTCAATGAAAATCACCCTAGGACTCTTGGGGGAAGCCTGGGAGAAAGAAGAGTAGCATATATTTTTGGCAGTGAAGTGGGGCCCTTCCTCAAGGGGACCCAGCCTTCTCTTAGTTCAGGGGGTTGTGGGTCTTCGTACTGGCTCAGGTCTGGGGACTGATGGAGAAGCCTGGACTCTACTGTGGTCATTCAAGTTACACTTTTGGTCATTTGCTCTAGAACTCTTCTGTGTATGAGGATCAAGTCACAAATGAGTAGACTTTCCTCTGTCTCACTCCTAGGGATGCTGTGACCAATTAGTCAATGGCATAGGTCTATGAGATAGTCTGTTTGGCTGCTGCTTTGACTCTACAGTCCCTGATCGCAACCACGCCCACCTTGTCTTCCAGCCATGGCAGGACCCAGAGGGCTGGGGCTTGGGCAAGGCTTGAGGGGCCAGTGATTTGGAAATTGACCCCAGGGTCTGAACAATGGCATGGAGGCAGACTTCACACACAGTGTAGCATAAATCATGTGCTTGTCCTTCTCTAGGGCCACAGGGCGGACCAATGCCAAACCCATAAGTGGCCTCCGGGCTGTCCTATGAACCCCTCTACTCTTCTTGGGTTGCTCAATTTCAGTTAGAGCTTCAAAACGGAATGGCCCCCAACCGCCCAACCATTGCTTCCTTCCCACAGCCCCCCGCCTCTGTGTCTGTCACTGCTACCGTCAGCACTGTGGCTCCGAACAATGTCAGATCTGCCTCGTTATTATCTCTTGTTCAGCACCCGCCCTGCTGATTACTGAGGTTGGGGAGTAAATTAGGTTGTTCATCCCAAAGACGTTCCCCAAAGAGCACGGGAGTCACATACAAGAATGGGGCAAGCCATGCAGAGAACCGATTATCACCTAGTATCTCGCCAGTGAACCACGAAACAAATAACCCCTGGGAATCTGAGTCTGTAGGAAGGAAACTGAGCTGCTCGCCTTCAGACACTTGGTGCGACTCCTGCTGAAGGGCAAAAAGGTCCACGGAATGCTAAGCCCGAAGGTCCTTTCTACCTCCCATCAAGCCTCAGGCCTTCCACGTTGTTGGGGCTCAGGAAATATGAGTATAATTTTAAATACTTGACTTTTGATTACCGGCCAGCTTGACAACTTTGGTATGCGAAACAGCATGTGTCCCAGCGCAGGGTGATGTCTCAGGTGACTGCAGAGAAGGCACTTCTGTATTGGGGCCAGGCTTCATCTGTGAGACAATAGGGTTCACAAACTGGGCCTGTCGAAGCCTATCTAGGGGCAGTGGTGGTTCACCGGTAGAACTCTCCCCTTCCCTGCCAGAGACTGAGGTTCAGTTCCCAGCCAAGGCACCTCGGGTGCAGCCAGCGCCCGTCTGCCAGGGGAGGTTCATGTGTTACTACTGAGCAGGTTTCAGCAGAGCTTCCAGACTGAGACGAACTAAGGAAAACCTGCTTCTGCAAATCAGCCAGTGAAAACCGTATGGACACAGCAGCCCAGTGCATGACCAACCGTGGAAGATGCAGGACTGGCAGTGTTTCCTTGCATGGTGCGTTGGGTTGCAGTGAGACAGCAGCACCTGACAATGCTACTACGCACATCTGAGCATAAACCACAGTTAGGATTTTCCACTGAGCGTGTGCCAATGTTAGACCACAGAGAATTGCCCGTCATCATGTCAGTGTTCAGCACGTGCAGTCCTGGTGAGGCTGTCTGCCTGGGATGTGGAAGGGTGGCCTCTTAGGGTCCCCTTGGGCAGTTTGAAGGTGTTCCTGTGCTCACTCACTCTGCAGGTGAGCTGGGTGTGGTAGGGGGCACCCAACTCAGGTGACTCCAGCTGTGTTGTTCTGGCCTTGGCGAGTTGGGCAACTGGGTAACCTCCATGAATCTACCTCCTGCTTGGAACATTGTTACAGCAGCCTCTTCTTATCACCTCCCAGTCTCATCATGAGCTTATGATGAGACATGCACTGGAAGGTGAGACCCAGTGCCGTGTTTGATGTCCTGGGGTGTGCACCCTGCTGGGGGAGCGTGGATTAAGCCTTGGAAAACTTGGATTCTCTCTTCTCTCCCTATGACCTTGACCACGTCTTACCTCTCTTTTCTGGCACAAGTCTGATCTCCTTCACTGTAAATCGTTAGGCAGGGGCTTAGTGACCGTCCAAGGTTGCTGTCCACTCTGAAGTTCTGATCCACATCGTGAGTGTGGTTAACTGGAGACACGCGCTTGCCTGCTCTTTTGTAGATTCTCCTTGGGAAGAACGCACAGGGGTGTGGGAACGCCCCCAGGGTTCAGGTGACAGCTGTGACTCTATTTGGGGATTTGCTGTGAGACGCAGATAGATTCATCAAAGCTGCCTTCCTATTAAAACCAAGGAAAAGATCAATCACGCTGCCAGGAAAATGCAGTCTGGCCATTCAGCTTCTAGCTCCCACCCCTCCTCTCTGTGTTCCTGAAGCAACTTTGTTATATTTGACTATTAAAATACTTTTTTTAGACCCTTTATACAATAGAGCTCTGGAGCCGTAGTGCCTAAGGCATTGGACTGCTCTTCAAAAGTCTGGCAGTTCAAACCCACCAGCCACTCCTTGGAAAGAAGAATGGGTAAGCTACTTCCATAGAGACACCACTTAGGAAACCCCAGGAGGGGTCGCTATGAGTCTGAATCAACTCAACGGCAGTGAGTGTGGGTTTTTTGTTTTTTTATATGATAGAAAGAGCTCTGGAGGCACTGAGGTTAAGGCATTTTTGGCTGTTATCCAAAAGGTTGGCAGTTCGAGCCCACTAGCTGTTCTGTGGGAAAATGATGAAGTACTGTGCTTCCTTAGTACAAGTTAAAGCCTTGGAAACCCTACAGGGCAGTTCTCCTCTGTCCTCTAGGGACTGAAGTAGGTTTGGATTTTTCGGTTTTACCATTGACTCATAATGTTCATGAACATGTGCTCTGGGATCTTCTCGATCCACCCCATTCCCAGAAAAGTGGAAGTGAAAAGTATGAGCCCTCCCCACTCCCCCTTGGGCAGCACCCTAAAGACGGTGCTGTGCAGAAGGGGGTCTCTCGCTGGTGCCCCTCTCTGTACATGTCACCCACTGCCTGGAATTCAGCTCCAGCCCTGGAAAAATGCCAAACCATTCTCAGACATGAGCAGTCAGGTGGCTTCTGAGTGACACAAAGCCCAGGCTGTCAACATGCCACTGCTGCAACTGTGGCACCATTGAGACTTCCCGCGAGCGGAGACCAATGATAAGGCCTGAGAGGGGAGATGCAGTTGAGGGACAGATTGGGTGTACGGGTGGGTGCAGATTTTTATGCTGCTAGCAGCTGCCATGGAGCCAGCCCTGACTCGTGTAACCCCATGCACAGTGGAAGGAAACGCTGCCTGGTCCTGCGCCATCCCCAGAACCAGCTGCAGACCGCAGCAGCAGGATCCATCCCCATGATCGGCTGCAGACCGCAGCAGCGGGCCCCATCCGCGTCAGCAGCTGCAGACCACAGCAGCAGCGGGCCCCATCCGCGTCAACAGCTGCAGACCACAGCAGCGGGCTCCATCCGCGTCAACAGCTGCAGACCGCAGCAGCGGGCCCCATCCGCGTCAACAGCTCCAGACCACAGCAGCGGGCCCCATCCGCGTCAGCAGCTGCAGACCGCAGCAGCGGGTCCCATCAGTGTCAACAGCTCCAGACCACAGCAGCGGGCTCCACAGGACTTTCACTGGCTAATTTTTGGAAGTAGGTCCCCAGGCCTTTCTTCCTACTCCATCTTAGTCCGCAAGTTCTGCAGAAACCCATCAGCTTCCTAGCACCACGCAAGTCTCCACTGATGGGTGGGTATTGGCTGTGCATGAGGTGAATTTTGAGCTGAAATGGAACCCAGATCTCCTGCATGGAAGGCAGGACTTGGCCCACAGAGCCACCATTGCCTTGATTGGGTGAAGAGTGACTGTGCATTTACTGTCCTTGTGTTCTGAGGTATAGCATCCTTGGATGACAAGGGGCTCTGTGTTGCTTGGATGTTATAAGAGTATTGAAAGTTGAGTCACCAGATGATAGGCCAGTCCCCCTGTGACCTGATTTTATCTCCTTCTGGGGCCTTTGGAACTCCTTGGCAGGTTGGGGTCTGAACACGTGATGGTGGAGGGGTTCTTGGGTCCATCCACCTGGGAGGAATGCCCACAGTGGGCTGTGCATTTTGCACGTTCATGTCCCTCTTCCCTGTAAATCCAAGGGCACTGGCCTCCAGATGGTCACACGGCCTCTCTGTCCTCTCCCAGTCTGGGAAGCTGCTGCTGGCATCCTGCTCATTATTTGTGGCACCAAAAAATGGGCATGTGGAACTGGCGTTATAAGTACCCAAAGGCTGCAGGAACACATGACATTGAGATCATACATCCTTGGGCAAGTTGGAGTGCCATTTATACACTGAGGGTTGTGTTCCTGCCTCCAGAAACTAGGACCCAGTAGCTTTGCTGTTGGTGAGGTTGATGACAGTGGGCACACCTCTTTTC